TATTCTGTTTTTTTCTTTTTCTTGCGTATATGTCCATTTTGTTAAATTAAATTTTGTTCTTGTTGCTGAACAAATAACGACACACTTTTCTATTGGCAACTTTCCAATTTGTAAATGCATCAGATATATTTGCCGATATTTCTCATTTTTAAAGCCGTTTATCCATTTCATTTGGATCAAATCCTCTTCAATTAACTGGCTATCCTGTAATTCACAAAAGATAGCGGTTTTTCTTCAAATGAAGAGCATATTCAATAATTCACTCATTTACATTTTAAGAAATGTTTTATGAATTTGGTTTTCACTGCATTCAGAAGTTTTTTTCTTGGGTGTTATATGTCTCATTATCAGTTGACTTATATCGTCAAACATCATTTCCTCTAACTATCTTGCATTTGCTGATAATTTTATGCTAGCCTCACAATCAGTAGTTGCCAAGAAGAGAACGGTTATCTTGTTTTCTCCAAAAACTGATTTAAATCCTTCAGCTTTTTTGTTCTATCTTTAGATGCGAGAATCATGATCCACACATGTGACGATTCATAATTATCATGAGATAATTGTTAGCTCGTTTCTTTCGATACCGACGACGCTATTGAATGTAGTGCTACTGACTCACGGGAAGTAGTATGCACAGAACTGCCTCATGAGTAATCACTGGAGTTATTTATAATATTTGTAAATGAGTCAACTCGGTGTGTGTTAGTGCGTATATGAACAAGAGAGTTTAAATAACGATAAAAAGTTAAGCGATATAAAAAGTAGCCATCCATATTAAAGGTCATGATTTAAATTTTATACCTGTACCGACACAAATAATAATGTGGAAACTTAAGTGTATCCTTCTGTATTACATTTTTGTCATTTGTCTTCAGATATACAGGTTACGATGGATAAATTTTTTCCATCTTATATTTTTAATTTCGCGCATCGTTTTTGATTTTGCCGACTGCATAATATGGTCAGTTGGGCACAGTCTATAAGAAAGAAGTGCACCATGACACAATTTGCTCCGCCAGAAATTTGGAAACGGCATGCTGTAGTGCATGGCAATCGCGCCGGGAACGCCAATACGAATTTTTCAGATTGTTTGTGTGCCAATTTGGGGAGAGTGCAGAGAATTCGGATATAGTTGGATGAGTCTAATGGTGAATACGAAGGTGTTTGGAAAGATCACTAGGTATGGCGACGTTATGGGCTTCAGAATCGACACAGAGGTCTACATTATGTAAGTTGAGATGTCAGTGCTGCTCTAGGTCAAGAGAGTGGCTGCTGAAAGAGCCTATGTTGGTAACAGGATTCTGCACCATTCCACACTAGCAACAGAACCCAATCATGGCTGTGAGACAATTTCTGCGGCCACACAACTCATTACATCTGGTCACCTAACTCAGCATAATGCAACTTCCCTTCATTATGTATAAGGCGCAGATGATCGGGAGACCAAGAAACTCCTTCTCACACCAAAGATAAAGCGAAGGAAAAGATCATGTCAGTATTCACCAGTTTAAACAAGGAGACGATCCAGAAGAGATGCAGAAGTTTTCAAAGACGTCTACAGGCCATGGATCAAGCGAATGACTATTTTATTGAATAAATTTAGTCTTTTGTATTTCAAGGTATATGTGGTAAATATATCTGTTAAAATGAGATGTCAGTGTTATTTTCCGTTTGCGTAATTTAGACGAGATTCTATCCATCGTGATGACTGTTTGTGTATATATATATATATATATATATATATATGTGTGTGTGTGTGTGTGTGTGTGTGTGTGTGTGTATTTCTTTGCACTAGCTCATCTTACGAGCTTTATGTAGAGTGCCTGATTGCTTTCCAGCGACATTGGCTTCCCAAAAAAACTTGCAAAATCGGGTTTTTCGTACTATTTAAAATAAAATCTTGAATAACTTCGTCATTTTTTATCCGGTTTTATTTTTTTTTAAATGTCATCATGCAAGAAATAAGTTAATATGGCTTTAGTCTTGCTCGCTTCCCCGTGTATAAAGAAAAAACACGAAAACTGTTCAGATGGTTCTTTTTCGTCTACAAAATTCCTCGATTTTCATCCGATGCTTTCAAAATTTGCTATGTAAATTACATATGACATACAAATTGTCTTGCGTAAATGTTCGGTTTTAATTATTTCAATTTAATGGATCTGCGACAAACAAGGTCCAAATCGGCTTTTGCCATTTACCCAATGGTTTCTTCATATGATTCCATCTTAAATTAACATTCGAACAACCGTTCATGCAAAGATTAACTGAGAAAGATAATTGGAGCGTTAAAAGAGAAGAATACCTGAAATACCTCTTATTAACCGGGTTTTACAATAAACATGCGAAGAAAGAATTGGGTGTTCATGCGTAGCACTTCCAAATGAATCAAGCTCTGGCGCTTCATCCCTGTTTTTGTTTCCTGATTAGATTTGTGAACAATTCCTTACAAATTCAAAGATATTACGGTCATAGGAAAATTACTAAATATTTAAAACATTGAAACAATTTATATCTGAGCAACGACCACACAAGTAGGTTATATGTATGGAATTACTTTATTAAGAACAATCAAACACTTGCAAATGTCATATTGTAAAATAGATGATGGGAAATAGCCTAGTATACCAGTGGATGTTCCATGCAAGCGGGAACGCAGGCAGACATTTCTAGGCAGTGGGTGCGAGTATAGAGGTGGGTGCCAATATACAATTGCAGCTATGTGCACCAGGTAAAACCGGGTATATCGGCTAGGTTATATATAAAACATAACAAAAATTATGCGTTAATAAATAACACACCGAATCTTTTTGCTTGAATAGTGTATTATCTTACGCAAGAATCTTTGTAATTTCAGTGCTAATTATTGAGTTATAGGGCATTTATTATAATAAATTTAAACGTTGCTTTCCTCTGGATTATGAAATCCACTCATCAGGAGACAAAATATGTTTTATTTATTATCAAAGATTATTTTTCTATTAAAAGACACTAAGTTATGAGGGGAATTTATTCGAATTTGTTTTTTCTTAAGAGGTTAATTTATGGCTTCAGCTTATTTGAAATCAAGTAGAAGTTAGACGTGGTACCGAAGATTATTGTTGGATAATTACAAGGATTTAAAATGTATTATAGCATTTTTTAAATGTAGGTGATGTTTGTTTATCAGTGGACTACGTATTGCATATGTCAGAAATAAACAATTGCAGAATATTAAATAACTGAGGAATGCTTTAACAGATGTTCGAAAATGTGGCACTGAAATCCGAAGGAAGATTGCAATAGCAAATCAAGAATTCCAAATCTTATGCAAAGTACCAGGAAACAAGGAAATCTCGTTTTAATACATAGAAAATAGTATTAAAATGTTAGCTTATTAAATCCACTTATATGGAATCGAATGCTGGACAATTCTAAAACAGATGAAGTGAATACTGGAACAAAAATAAAGATGGTTCTACAAAATGAGGCTGATAATATCAAGGATGGACTTCGTACAAAACAATCAAATCTTACGGAAAATAGAAACAAAAATGACCTTCTTCAGAATCTACAAGTGTTAAATGGAAAGAAAAAGTTTAGTCATACTTAGAATTATAAAGAGACAGTTGAAATGTCTACAACACGATTGCAGGAAGGAGAGCTTGGAGAATTCGATACGCATAGAACATGTCGAAGGTAAAAGGGACAAGTGGAAGCAGCATGTTACATACCTGACGTGCTTGTGTTAACGGATATCGGAAAATTGTTTAGGAGGAATGTCAAAAAGGAAAAGGTTACCCAAGAGCTACATGGGATAGGAAGTAGTGGAGAGCTATATTGACTCACTTCATCAAGAGATATATCACGAAGAAAGTAAATATTCCCAACTAATTGTACTTCGTTATCAAAATTACTAGTTTGAATAGAGAATATAGCAAAAATGTGTGTTTATCGAAACATTATGTCTGTTAGATACGGTGACATTCTTTGCCTACTTTATGATTAATACTAATTTTTGACTTTGTCTTTATTAGCAATAATCTGTTGTTCTACTCTGGATCAACATCTAGCATCCTGTAGATGGTGACAACTATAGTCAGCCTATACATTTTGGCTACCTTACAGTATCTGAATCAAGGTTTAATTTCTTCTTTTTCTTCCATTTGCAGCTCGGACGTTGGAGCTTAAGGCTCTCTACAATTTCTTGTCCTTTGTAGCTCTTAATATGTTTTGACATTTTGCTGTCTCTCCCAAATCTTTCTCCATCATCTATTCGCTCAAGCGCACCAGGTAGTTTAATCGTTGCTTTCTTCAAAAATACACTCAATCTGTTGTGTGAGTATGGCATGTTTTCCAAGAGTTATGATAAGCATAAATATTCTCGCTGTCATTGTCTCTAGAACTTCGTGGGTCCGCACATATTCGGTCCATGGTATTATCAGCATCCTTCTATAGAACCACATTTCTGTTTCTTCAAGTATCTTCTTCATCTATTGTCCATCATCCACCCCAATACAGGAGAACTGTTATTACATAACAGTTTAATACAATTTTCTTTGTCCCAGACGATATTTTTTGTTTCTTAATATTTTGCTTAGCTTTTGGAATTATACCCTTTCCTATACTAAGTTATACTGCATATTTTATTCTGCATATTAAATATGATGTATTGTAGATAATACAGACAGACACACAAACACGTTAACTCCACTCAATTCGATGCCAGAATCCTTTACTACAATCTCAGAGATGTCGCTTGTGTTTGTTCGCCTGACTATTTCGAATTATAACCACACATATTCAGTTTCAGCTACGATCTAATACAAACATGTACCGCCTGACACACTACTCACAATGTATGTAGTCAAGACAATTTTTCCGCCTCGTCAACCTAGTAAATATTCGAGACATGGCCTCTTGGCGCACGACACATCAGTGGATACAAAGTTAGAAAAGAAAGAGGCAGTGTTTACATAGTATTGTCCATATAACTCTGACACCTAACTTCATATTCCGCGCAGTTGACACTCCTAAAATATCGTCAAAACCTATCTATCTATCTATCTATCTATCTATCTATCTATCTATCTATCTATCTAGCTAGCTAGCTATCCTAATATATCTATTGTCATTATCTATCTATCAATATGCTCTATCTATATATCTATTGTCATAATCTATCTATCTATTAATCTATCTACAGTCATTAACTATTTATCTATTTAGCTAGCTAGCTATCATGATCTATCTATTGTCATTATCTATCTATCAATATATATATATATATATATATATATATATATATATATATATCGTCATAATTTATCTATCAATGTACTGTTATGCTCTATCTGTATGTCTATTGTCATAATCTATCTATCTATCTATCTATCTATCTATCTATTTATTTATTCTCATAATCTATTTAGCAGCCTATCTATCCACCTATGTTTGTCTTTCGTAGTAAATCCTGACAATCCCTTTAACTCATGGTTTTTAAAGCACAATATAGAGGCGGAGTAATGAAAATTGTTCAAAATAATAGTAGGTGTATACCATATATTCTCGTGCATAGGCCGAATTCATGTAGAGTACAACCCTTGAATGTTTTGTATGAATTTTAACTCCTTCAGAAATGAAAACACTGTAAAATGCATTATTTTTAATCTTTTCAAATAATTACTTCTGGATAGTGCGACATTCTATATTTGCGGTAAAAACGGATCATAAAACCTCACACTATATTTGTGCATATAAATGAGAATTTTTTGTTTAATCATTATTTGTTTTTTTTCCTTTTGTGATATAACTAATGTTATGGAACAAAAGTGGACAATTTCCCCGCCCCACCAGGTGGATCACGTAGTAGGTTTAAATCAAATGGGCAGCAAGAAGATAGATTAAAAATTATAACGATTTAAAATCCCAAAGTATACTAGAGCGTAATCGAATCTAGGTTATTTTATACCCGGGATATAAATTAGTCTTGGCTTTGTATATACGCCCGAGAGTAAAATGTTCTAGGCCAGAATAAACAGATTCTTTTTTCATGTAGAAAAATGTAACTATTTCATCGATAGTGGATAAATCCGTGTCACACCTCCACAGATACATGAGCGTGCATTCTACAACCATCCATTTTGATTCCATTCCTTATTTTACACATTAGAAAGCGATTGTTTACTGTTATCCAGCGGTTTCCCGCTTCATTTTGTCTAAATATTTTCATGTTGATGGGAAGTGTAGAAAATTATAATGAAAACCAATGGGCCTACACATGAAGAGGTTAAAACTGTACAGTTCAATGATGCATCCACACAAATGCCTTTTCCAAAAAATGAAATTTCTTGAAAAAAAATAGTATCTGTCTGTAGAATATTTTCTTTACATTTCGAATACGGAGCAAATGAGAGTGATTCGAATCTATCAAAGAAGCGGGGCTTTTCCTACCTATACATGTCAGAAATGGTGAAATTAAGGAAGGAATTTCAACTGAACATTTACCAAGGAAATAGAAACAAAAAGCGATAAACCAGCAGCGTTTTTCGGTGGAAAAGAGATTGGGCAATAAATCTCGCTCCAGAAGATTGCGTAAAAGATATTTAATTCTATTAAGATTGGAACGTGGAAAGTGAGCAGCACCTGTCCAGATATTTAATCATTTCTCATTTGTTTTTGTTTCCTCTCGCACTTGTAAAGATAAAGCATGGCAGTGCAAATCGGGTACTATATATATATATTATATACTATATAGATATAAAATGAGATGGCTATTTTTTCCGGATGTTCTTCAATGGATTACATAAAATAATTCCCCTGGTCGTAGGGAGTGACCTTGAATCCCAATAGACGTTCAAATCATCGAAAATAATTCAACGTTCAAGAGTCCTTATCGTTCATGGAGAAATCTCGGGGTGTGTCCGGTGAAAAAGAAATATTAGCTTCGCTTTTTTTTTTCTCATTGAACTTTTACGTCCAGACCAGAGGAGAGTTCAGAGGTAAGACTCTACTCATGTTGATATTTGGAACTTCGTTCATAAACTGATATAGCATTTCACACACACACACACACACACACACACACACACACACACATGCACACACACACACACACACACACACACACCTGTGAGTGTGTTAATTCTATGACAATGGTTTATAAAATATGAAAGATCTCAAATGACGTTGGTCAAATTAGGTGCAAATTCTCAAGCAGGAAGAATGTCTTCATCCTTAGAAAAATAAAATAAAATAATAAGAATACATTTCATTTAAAATTCAACCGCACACACAAACATACAGATATATATATATATATATATATATATATATATATATATATATATATATATATATATATATATTTCGATTAAAAATATATATAATTTATAAATTCATGAATCATTCATACAAAAAACAAATATAGAGGTTAATGATTTAAATGGTGAGAATACATCGTCGCAAACACATAAATAAGATACACCAACCCCGAACCTGTATATGAATGATATGATCCCTGTTTATAAATTCCAGTTCCATAAGGTCTTTTTAATTTTTTACAAGATTTCGTCTGTTCCTACAGACATCAGGTATGGAAGTAGATT